GTTACACTGTAACATGCGTCAGGAAACATCAGCTTGAAATTCCCCATAATGTTGCCAACAATACAGAAAGAATGCAAGAAAACTGTTTGCCCTGTTGCTTCCGCTGCCATTCCCGGTAGAAGGAGTGCGTCGCCTGGATATGACAATGTCACGCTGTAGAAAAGTCCGGTTCTATAGAAAGCGTTTCAGATACCTGGCGGGGTGGCTACGCTGCAACGGGATCAATATTCATAGAGGTAACAGCTGCATACTCTGCCTTGGATTCATGAAAAAAAAAGTCCATGAAGGCAGGCATATATAGCAGGAGAAAGCCAACATCATCCTCCATTAGACATCGTACAGCGAACTATGTCGTATGTCAATTATTTGTGAAAATGGTGCATACAATTACGCGTGTGACTGGTGCACCATTGAGTACTGCATGTCTGTACGCTCACCGGCAATGCGTTGTCCACCTGTGACCTAACTAATATAGACGCTGAATGGGAGGTATGTGCACTCTTTGATGCGAATGCACGCTAAAGAACATCAGATGGTCGAAATTTAAGGCACCCTTCACTACGGCGTCTTTCTTAATCATGTAGTGATATCGAAATGTAAAACTCGAGATATTAAGGCGAAAAGCTTACGTGCCTCGTCGGACAAGAAATTTGACCGTCGGCGGCGACCGTCCCGTGGCGTCGAGAGTGAGTGGTGGAAAAAGTATTACTTACGCAAGGGCGTCACGGATCGCAAAAATTTGTGAAGTCTTCACGACGTTCCATAGTCTGGTGTGATGGGACGTAACGCCACTGGCTAATTTTGTTGCCGGTCCGACAAACATCAAACGGCCACAGGCAACGTACAGGGACAGGAGAGCTCGTCCTAGATCCTTCGTACACCCTCAATCCGAACGTTGAGCTTAAGCGGCTCCACTATTAAAAAAGAAAAAGCCTCACATGTTCTCTTAACCAGCGTTTTGTTTAGTTACATTAGATTGGATCTATATGAGTTGACTGTCAAGCTCACTTCGTATATCAACGCCGTCACTACGCACGAGCCTTGTTGTCGTCATCTAATGGCCGCACTGCAAGAAACTTGGTTACTTAGCAAGTGCATGTTTACTACAATTTTTATTGCTATTAAAAGTGGTAGCTTTGCTTCGTAAAACATTCGAATATGCTGCTATCACATTCATTGAGTCGCCTTTTTGGCGCAACTGACTTTTTCCACAGACATGAGTTTCTTACTGTCACACGTAGGTGGCGTTTTTATTTTTTTTCATGCATATATATATACCATTGCTACATTACTGTTTTAATATTTTATTTGAATACCATTGCTACGTTACTGTTTTAATATTTTACTTGCTATGGTGATACTGTAAAAAATGTACATTTTTGGTAGTTGGTACTTCTGTCCTCTAGTAGTTCCAGCTGTTGCTAGAATTTCGAGTTTACCATTGTACGTGTACTTGCTATATGCGGTTTTTGATGGCGTTCATTGAACCACACTTCTTGTAGGTACTGCCTTGTATACTCTGGTCGTTGACTACCGTCAAGCTGCACACGCACCTTTTATTCAAACACAAGCCATCCAGCATGTACACAACGGAAACATAAAAAAAATGAATGGAATATACTGAATACAACCGTAAATGCGGTCGCACACTGTAAGCTCATGAACGACTGCAACACGTGCCACACCCGTGCTTCGCGCACAACAACGAGCCCTAAAGCTTGGTGCTGCGTCTGCTCCTTTCTGTATCATTGATTGATTGATTTGTGGGGTTTAACGTCTCGAAACCGCCATATGATTATGAGGGACGCCGTGGTGGAGGGCTCCGGAAATTTCGACCACCTGGGGTTCTTTAACGTGCACCCAAATCAGAGCGCACTGGCCTACAACATTTCCGCCTCCATTGGAAATGCAGCCGCCGCAGCTAGGATTCGAACCCGCGACCTGCGGGTCAGCAGCCGAGTACCTTAGCCACTAGACCACCACGGCGGGGCTCCTTTCTGTATCATGGCATCGAGAAAATGCGTACTGTGGTTGGGTGCCTCCACCGCACAGCCAACCCTTCCGGCACTAGGCAATCATTTCCTGATCTTGACCATGCTGTCCGTGTTGCCTTCCGATCTTATAGCAAAGCTGCTGTAAGGAATCTGCTTCAAGGCACTCAGTACGCGATGTTACATAAAGCGAATTTACGTGAAGAACTTTCGACGACACCTGCTACGCCGAAGGCGATATAGATAAAGACCAACAGGCACAGCACATCTGAGGAGGGAAGCAGGAATTCTGACTTTGCCTGTGTTTCAGTAAAAGCAGGGGTGAATCTGTTGTTTTTCAGCGCACGAAAAACAGGGACAAATAAAGGTGTGCGACAAAAAATGACGTACCAACACGCCCGAAACGCTACGTTACCAAGCAAAAGTGAAGACCGCATTGAGCACCTGATGAGATCGCAAACGGCGTCCTTGTTTACTTCGAAAAGAAAACGATGGCATTGTGCATAAATGTAATGCTCATTCGCATCGTCTTTTGCTCGCAGGATCTGCTGAGCATACAAGTCCCGTCATAACCCGCCTGTATTTGAGTTCAGAGCCTTTAAAATATTCATCCAATGCCCTAGTATGCGTTTTTAACACTATATTACAAATCGACGAAGTCAGAATTGTTGCTAGGTGTTTTCAGACTGTGATTCTTATTGCGGACCTGACCGCAGTTACACCGCAAAAAAGGGCGTGTTGCGTACGGAATTGTAAAACCCATCTTGTAAAATATTTTACAAGTCGCTCGGAATCCGAAGCGCCTACACAAGCCATTCATTTTCAGCCAGAGAGCAGTGAAGTATCTTTGCGGTTTTACAGAGATATGATGGATGGTGGGTGGGGAAGAGGGAGCATCTGATGAATAAACTGAATGAATTGTTCGTGTTTTTACGAATACTATTAAGGGCAGCGTTTCTCAGCCTCAGGCTCTCTCCCTTGAGGACTGCAGGCTACGCATGGGGCTTGAGTAGTTCAGCGAGAAAAATAAAACTTAACTGGTACGTCGACACGCCAAAAAAAAAAAAAAAAAGACCGATAACACTAGATTTGACAGAGGAGCTTGTCATATGAGTCATTTGTAATATTGTACCTCTATCTTGCTGTTTTAAAGTACGGGATGGCGAACATTGGAGTTTATTACGCAGAAAAAACGAACATGTTTATAGGGTATCAATGCGAAAAAAATGCGAAAATAGCGAACATTTTTTTTACTTCACTCATGGCCATGAATTATCAATACAGAAACGAATCTTTGGGCACAAAATATATTCTGTCTGGATATGGCCTTTTTGCCACCGTTCAAAATTTCATTTTAAAAAGAAAAGAAAAAGAGCACTTGATCTGTTTTGATTTTCTTCCCAATCTGCGGGGCCACACGAGGCCCTGCGTGGAGCTGAGTGAGACATTGTTGGAAAGAATTCATCCCTACTGTTTCTACCGCATAAAAATTTTAAACTCACTCTGTGGGCCCGCACGCAGCCTTGGTAAAGCATTACTTGCACTCCACGCATTGAATTCATTCTGAACTCTGCACTGTGTTGCTCCAAAACTTTTTTGCACAAACCGTCTTTCTTAGTGCTAATGTTTGAACGTATGCACTTCAATGAGTTATTTATTAATTGGAGACTACACATGTACTGGTGCATCTTTTTTGTCTCTGTTTGCCGTTTCGATGCAGAACTGCATAGGTATTTTGCGGCTTGCAGCTTCATTAACCGTGCTTTAAAACTCTTCTGGATTTAGATGTTCGAGTGCTTGTTTTATTTATTTTTTTAATTTTGGTATTGATGAAATTGTATTAAAAGTTGATATCAAAACGCGTTAGTGAAGAGCTTGGGAGATTCTTCAGTTTCTTATGCACCAATCGGGAGCATTCTTGTGAACACAGAACAACCTTGACGCAGCGCGAATGAAGCGAGTCATGTGCTGAACAGCTGTGTGGGCTTTTTAGGTCGTTTTCCTCTAAAGAAGCTCTATATAAATTCATCTTGTACTTCAAAATTTTCCTAAATAAGAAAGGGAACATAATGAGTGCAAGATAGTAAGTAGGTCAAATAGTATAAGACACTCTCTAAGGCAATTGAATGCCCTTTTGTCACATTTTGCTCCTCTGACATGCGAAAATTTTTAAAAATTCCAGTTAGTCAATGGACACCAAACAAACTAACCTTTGGGGATTTGTAGCTTGTAGTTCATAGTAACAAAATAAATATTTACAATACTGTATTGACGCAAGGATAGCTTCATGCACGAATCCTAAAGTTTGGCCAAGCAGAACTTTGTACTCTTTGACGGGTCACGTACACACTGACACGAGTAGCGTAACTTTTTTCGGAGGGAACGCTGAGTGCAATCATCAACTTTTACTCATGAAAAACTATACAAAAAGCAGCACTTATTGCTGGAAAAGAGAAACAAAGAAGACTAGTTTCTGTATTAGCTACAGAGGCTGGCAAAGTCCAAATGTCCTGGAAATGCTGTAGGCCCGTGTGCTCAGATTCGGGTGCACGTTAAAGAACACCAGGTGGTGAAAATTTCCGGAGCCCTAAACTACGGCGTCTCTCATAATCATATGGTGGCTTTGGGATGCTAAACCGCATAATATTAACCATAAATAAAAATAAAAGTATCGCATTTTGCCCCGTGTCTCATTTTGCTCTACCATACCGACATTCAGCGGCTCTGTCCATGAAGCTTCGCTTTTCAGAGTCAACTGTGAAATGTAAATAAAGGCTGTCATAAGGTGACCTGTAAAGAACGTCTATTCCCCGAGTAATTAACGTCTGAGTTAATGTGAACACATTAACCCAAGAAGAAAGCCAATGGAGGTCATTACGGTACACAGTTCATTGCACAATTTGATTGAGAGTTTACTAGTGAAAAATGATCCATGTTTCTGTCATTCTGTGTACGTAAATACGTGAAGTACCTAGTTGTTGCTAAAAACATTCCATTTTTTCATTGCAG